TATTTGATTCAATTGTAGTATTTGCATGGCACAAACCATTGAGTGTTGTTACTAAAGATCTGATGTACAAATAAATTCTGGCTTTAAAGATGTGTCAAAGTCAAGTCCCTGAAGTGACAAATATTAAGTATTTCTCACTTAGAAATACTTACCAGTGTAGAACATCAATGCTTCTCATATTTTCAATTAAACTTCAAAAGCCTTTGTAATTTTGCACATATAAATAATATGGTCTGAAACTGAGAAATGAGAAAATGGACATTGACCGATGATAGTAAGGAGAACTCGTTACTGGAGCTGAAACAATAGTAAAAGACAACTCTCTCCTTTAAATACTTGAACAGGAAAGCATTTTTCCTGGGGATTGAAAATCCTTTTACTACATGCTTAGGAAAACTATATTGAAATACTTTTCTTGCTCCTAAGTCCGTTTAATTCATACAGCAAGGCTAAGGGTAAATTTAGAGAAAAGTTCTTCTGAGAAACATCGCACTAGGAAAGGGATTTTTCTGCTGTTAAGAAGGAGAGACAGTGGGAGGATGGATGCGGCAGGAATTTTGCTGTTTTGTCAAACCAGAATGTCTTCTGCAAACTAAGGAGATGCTTCAATCAACTGGCTTTACCAAAGAACTTGAGACACTTCATTGTTTTTTTTTTTATTAGTTGTCATTCTTTGACATGATGAATACTTACAGCAGTATGTTAAAAAAGATACAGTTAAGTCTCTTGGCATCACTGCATAGCAGTCACAGCATTTTCACACAATCTAGTGCTTCCTTTCAGAATGATGCATATGGCATATATACGCACATACGGGGGCTGATTCTTGGTCCCAGTGAAGTTGAGGGGACCAGTGCTTGGCCCAAAGAGTTGTCTAAGATATGCGAATATGTATATATAAAATGCTTTACAATAAACATGACATATACAATCTTGAATTCAAAGATAAGCAGAATATATTTTACATCCAAGTCAAACTTATGCTCTGCACTTAAAAGTTTATGTACCTAAAATATTGGATGGATTATAGAAAGAAATAATAGAGTAACAGTTTGCACCAATCAAAGTAATTTGAATACATATTCATGGCGTGAAACTTGCCTTGTGGTTTTGCTTTGTTTCTGTTTGGGGTGGCTTCTTTTGGATTTGCAGGATCTTAAGTCAAATTTAATTATTGATTTTTGTGGGCCATGAGTGGGGGATGGTGGTATCAGGAGAGGAATGGGCATATTTTATGGACAACTCAGCTGAGTGACTTAAAATATCAGGCTATAAATTATGGCTGGTACCCTGGTTGGTACCTGAAAATAAAATTGTAGCTACTTGAGTGTTTCTCCTTTCTTAGGAGAATACATTTGGAAGGGCTGGTGTGCATTTTGTGTCTAATTTGACAGAAACTTTTAACAGAAATTTCAACCACAGACTGGAAAAGCTGGTAAGATAGCTATGCAGTGGGCATATCTTATTTACTGTGGTAACAGCTTTCTCTGCTACTAATCATTGGGAAGGCCTTGGTTTCCTTAATGAAAATCACAAGTTTATACAAAAATAATTGACCTGTGTTGTAGATTAGGCAGATCATGTGTTTTGTTTTTTTCTTTTTCCCCCATAGACTCCATTTCAGCTACTCCTCTCTCTGTTCCTTTATTCCAAAGGTACATGTTTTTAATAGTCCTTTTGGCTGGTGGCTGGACTATTGACACTTAAAACCCCAAAAGTAAGTAAAATCTTGACTTACTGACAATACATACGTATGCATTATTTTAACCAGCCTAAAATTTTCACTTATCACTTATCATTACTTATTATTGTTCTTAATTATACAAAATTTCTTCTTTGATGGCATGAAATCTTTATTTAAAGAAGCTAGATTTTAATCAAATGAATTGCAGTTGTGGGCCATAAAAACATTTTGACCTCCTGCTTTTAGTAGTTTTCTTTTTCTTTCCATATATGGGAACCTTAACTCAGTTTTAAAAAAACTTCAAAATCTTTTACCTGCAACTGGCCCAGTAAGAAGGAAAAACACTGTACAAAGGCTTTCTGTAAAGTGGCTAATGGGGCTGACAACACAGAAATCTGTATTATCTGCATAGTTTTTCCATTCTGTGCATCAGCATTCTGTTGGCATCCTGGGGAGAAAACCTGGTGCAGAAATGCCCTCCAAACTACAGAATACCAAGTGTGTATCACAACCACATATACTGAACACTGGTGTTGTTGGATTGGCTGTTATCGGTCATTGTTTGGCTTCTAAGGGAAATCAGATGGTAGCACTTTGCATCACAGACCCCGGTGAATTTGGCTGCCAGGAATCTGCTGCCAGAGCCTAACTGTTCGGCACATCTCTGTCTGAAACACCTGAGGCAAACTGGCCAGACCAAAATTTGTGTAATGGGTTTGGCTCACAAGTACAGAAGTATTGCTGGAGCCACCCTGAACCTATTTCAAGCACTATGTCATTAGACAAGGTGATTGAAATCTAGCAGGTATGAAATCTAGCAAATCAGTGTGCCAAAATCCCCCACAATTTTCAGAGCAGCTTTTTAAAGTTAAAAAGTTTTAGCTTGGTAAGAACAAACTTGTAATGGACTCTGCAGGCTCCACTTGTAGAAAAGGGCTTGAGTTTAATGTAGCTGTAACAAAATTTCATTTGTACCTGCTGGACCTATTTTCTGGAAGCTCTTCAGAAACAGCTCAACAATGTCTCTGTCAAGAGCTTTTTATGCTGCTAGACACCGTGTTTGTTGAACTAAATTTCAGAACATTGTAAAAAATTTCTTTGAACTAGAAGGAAAGGGGCTTTCGTTTCTTAGTAAAAAGACAAAACAAGGGAAATTATATCCTTTTGTATGTACTTAAGTGCTTCTAAGCAGCACATTACACTGCTTGTGTAATGTCCTAATAATTGTCCTAAATCTGTCAGAAGGAAAGATACATCTAAAAAGCTGCAAAATGGTGATGCTTCTGCCCCTACCATCAGGTGGTTAAGAAGAAATTATGTCCTGTAGTTAGAAATAATTTAATTATATTACAACTCTCTCTCTCTCTCTCTCTTTGCTTGCTGTGGTCCTTCTGATATGTGAGTCTCATTTAGAAGTGGGAGGAAGAAAGAGATTTTCTACCTTATGGTTTTACCTACATATGGTTATACCTTATGTAACAGTAGAGGGGGAAGAAAAACATCATTCTTGGAGTGCTTTGTGTTCTCACAGTGTTTTCCACCCTCCTACTTCACTGGGTTTCAGCTTCTTTCTCTGAAGATACACACAAAGAATTAGTAGAGTAAAACATACTTTACTAAAACTTATGCTTTTTATTTTCCTTTAACATATTAGTCACCTTCTGAGCATGAACTTTCTCTTATCAAGTCCATATCCCCTGTAATTGAGAAAAATCTATTATATCTCCCCTTGCACTTTTTTGAGTAAATATCTTTCTCAAACACCGACTTAAACAGCTCTTTCTTTGTTGGCCTCCTCAAGGTATTCACATCCAAACATGATTATATGGCCATATCTGCTAGTTCTTTTGGAAAACAGCTATACAGATTTGATGTATTGGGGGTTTAGAACACTATACTTCACCTGAATGCAGTTATTTTTACTGGGGGCAAAGGAGAAGGGGACTATCACTTGAGAATACAATCTCATTGAAATGGTGGAAGCTTAAGTTTTATAAAGACTTTCCAACTGAGGTTGTTTATGGCATAGTTAAGGCCATGTATCCTTCACAAACACAAGATTATAGAAAATTCCTCAGCAACTATGACAGTTAAGAGATTTTTCTTAATAGTCTGACTGCAACAGATTTTTTTCCTTCATTGACTGAAACCAATCTAAAAGTCAGTTGAAGTAGTACTTAAATTACAAGAAAAATACAAATGCATTTTGACGCTGGCTATCTAAGGAGGGAATGGGGGGAAAAAATCAGCTACACTGCAACATCTCTTGCGAAAACAACTGGACTCCAGAACTACTGAATGTCGTGCTTTGTAGACCACTAAGCTATTTAGTAAAAATTCACACTCTTGAATAAATGGTAATCAGGTTGAACTGTCAAATCATGTGGTGTTGCTGTGGGGCTCGGGTTTTTTTGAACTTCAGGCTCTGTGAAACATTTGCCTAGACCAAATGTGCAAGGTGCCATGGATTAACAACATGGACCCATATGGAATGTGTTTGAAGTTTTCAAGAAGTTATCCTGCTGGACTTCATTCCTTAATGACCTTTGATACACCTTGGATAGTGGAAAGGCAGTTCAGAATTGTATCTTGTAATCATATGATTTTGGCAGCTATGAAGGATGCTAAAAGTTAAGGCTTTTATCCACAAACAATGGTGTATATTAATAAACTCTATACCATATTTACAAATGCTTTCTCTTGTATTAAAACTAACAGTATTCTGTTCACAGTGCCAATGTTTTTACAGGTAGCAATCCCACAGTACTCCAGTATTTTGGCATGGGAATCAGTAGCGCTTTGTATTTACAGAAAATGTACACATATGAATATAAACAGGTTACTTGAAACAGTACTCAAAAGATAGATCTGTTCGTGTTTCAAAGGTTTAGACTGTACTACACCTTCCCTTTCGGTTGCGAGGGAATACTGTTCCTTGCAATGAGAAGATGCCTGTCTTTTATCCAAAGTGGCATAAAAATGATTACCAAAACGAGCCTTGTTACACTGGAGGCGTGTATACAGAGAGTAACTTCAGTCCAAGGTTTTTAGATCTGTTGTTTAGTGCACAGAATACAAAAGTTAAAAAGGTTTTCGTTTTAATTACTAAAACAACCAGACTCTCTCTGCCCTCTGTGAGCACCGTCTGTCAGCCTGGGTCCTCTGGATGCTGAAGATGCTGGTGGTTTAATGTGCAGCCCAGCTGCCAGCCTGGAACATGTGTGGCGCTCTGGGCCTAAATACATATGTCACAGTATGACTTGTGGTAAATGAATATATAACCAAGAGTGCCTCTCTGTCTCCCCTGCTCTCTCAGGAATCCTCCCTACTTCAGGGCAGCCATAACTGCTGCTGATTGGGACTCCGCATTCGGACAGTTCGTGGTCAGGAGTGACGGATGACATCAGGCATGCGCAGGACGAAGAGAGGGGAGAGGAATGGAACGTGAGGATCAGAAAGAAACCCAGCAGAACCTTGGGCCTGTTGGTGAGGACCCTTACAGCTTCTGCTTTGCCATTTCTTCCCTTTGCACGGTCTCAACAACAGGCTCTTGGCTACTCGGGATCTTACTTGCTGCTGTGACCAAGACGGAGATAGCAGTGCTATAAGGAAAAGTGCAAAGCTGCCATTAAGGAGTCTCTTCTTCATTTAAAGTCTGTTCCTGGCTGCCAGTCACTTGACCCGAGTGGTCATTGCTCCTACTACTGCTGTGTTGCTTGTGGAGCAAGCTTCTCCACTTGGCCTTGTTCCTCCTGAGATGGTTTAGCATATTTTCAGATAGGGGAGTATCGCCTGTAAACTGGGCCCACCTCTCAAAGAGTGGCTCAACGATGTATGTCATGAACCCTGGGGAAACACACAAGGGACATCTGTTGAGCAACAAATCCATTCAGAGAGTGCCTTGAGAGCAATGTAAGTGGCAAAAACCCTGATAAGAAGTAACAATAAACCCTCAAACAGACATGGAGTCCTTTTGAAATGCACAGCTTTTGACCAGCATACATGACAAGACACGGCTTTTGACCAGCATGTGTATCAGTAAAATCTGTGAGAGTTGGCATCCCTCTGAGGAGATTTCAGACAAGAAAGTAACCAGTGTTTAATCCCACATTGGCTGCAATTTTTCTCCATGGACACTTTTTCCCCTATGCAATGACTCCTTTGTCTTTCTGTTGAACATTTGGCTTAGATAGGTTTCTTTTTGAACATTTTAATTTAGAACATGTTTCGTAACTCTTATGGTATCCACAACTAGAGTGGGGTGGAGCAGGTGGTGGAGAAAAGCTTCTCTTTGAGCTTGTGCCATAGTGAGATAACCATGAAGAGAATTAAATACTTACCAATCTGTATGCTTGGTATTGTATCCTTCTGCTGATTACAAAGGGGGCTTATTTCCAGTTCAAATTTTTGTTCTAGATCACCTGCAAAAAAAAAAAAAGAGCAAATATTTTTGTGCCACTTTTATCCCTTCTCCAAACCTATGCCACACTCTTACAGTGACTGCAACTGTGTGAATTTCAGCAGTTGGAATCTTCTACCAATGATGACCATGTCAGATGTCTAAATACTTTCCTTTTCTGGACTTTTTAGGTATTAGAGAAACTGATTATCCATACAAAGAAAAATCTAAGAAAGGATAACTTTTGAATGAACATTAAATCTGAGCATGTAAGTGTTCTGAGGACTTTAAAATAGACTCCTTCATGTGAAAGACCTTTAAGACGTTTTATAGTTCATTTATTTCATTCACTTGTTCATTTACTCAAATGTCTTCCTAACAGAAAATTGCAGAATATAAATTTTAGAAGAAATGTGCCTCTGGTAGTACTATAGTGTGAGTTGGCTGGGGGATCTGCTCACTCCAGATGCCAACTCAGATTGCTCCTGATGCAGAACTGGTCAGATTTGGCATTGAGATGATGCTTATAAACAGTCAGTAGAAACTATTTCTGCAGAAACAGCCACACAGGGGAGTCTTCTGTATATAGCTATGACAGGAGATGTTTTTTATGGAATTGAAGGTAATCAATAGCAATGACCTTGTGTATACTGGAGTGGTCACAGAAGACCAAAGGCCAGCTGGATTTAAGAATTCAGAAAAAAAACATCTCAGAGAGTCTCATTTGCTCATTGTCATCCAGACAACAGTCACTTGTTCTGTTCTGCATTTCCTTGTGCCTGCAATTACTTTATACAAAGATCGCTATAAGTGAGTAAAGTTTTGAGTGCGTTTTTGTTTTTTAAACAAACTCTGTGAGTGCAACACATTCATCCTTTGTGATTGTTAGTTTTCTCTGCCAGTGTACAATCCTGATTACTTTCCAGTCTATAGTATGGAAGGGAAGTGAGAGTTAACTGTGTGCAAGCTAAGATGTGCTCCTTCCCCTCAGATAACAAATATTTTGTCCATCTGATTCACTAATAAGAATGTAGTGAGGGCTGGTTAGGTAAAAATTGCCTGTAAGAAAGACTTGCTAGTTCAGGCAAAACACTGCAAAACCCAATAAAGAAATATTTTGCTTTAAATCCACTGGTTTTGTTTAAAAGCTCTTTTCTCCCCACTAACAGTTTTGATTTAAATGCTATTGTGCTACTTAGGTTCTACAGTCCCATATAAAACACCATGTGCATTTCTAAGCCTTGCCCTTCTTCTCTCTGCAGCATGCAATTTCTTCTTAAATGTGAGCAGAGTATTTTCAGTTGTAATTAGCTATTTAGAAAATATCAGGGAAACATTTTTAGCTTCATAGACAGCAAAAGGAACAATTTAGCAAAACTGACACAAAATAACAGTTTATCATGTTTCCAAATGTGCAGTTTGACTGTCTTCTTCTCATCTACCTTCCAAAACTTTTTGACTGAAAAAAAGTGTCTAACTCCAGTGACATCCCCTCTCTAAGTATTCTGGGCTGAAAATGGTTGACCTGCCTGGCTCAAAATGTATCAACATCATCTTGTCTTTGAGAAGTAATTTAATTGACAAAAGTAAGATTTTCCTTTGTATGGTAAGAACTTAAAATGATGGTCAATTTTCTTATGCTTCAAGTTACTGTAGAAGGAACTGCATGAATTAGTTTCCGAAAACTTTCATGGTGGGTAAAATCTTCCAAGCAATTGTAAAACATCATAAGAGAAACTGATCATTAATGTTGCTTAAACATTAGCCATTGTCGTGGGTTTTTGGAGGAGGTCAAACCACGACAGCCATTTTCTTGAAACTTTTTCTTACCAGTTCCAGTTTCATATAAATAAATCAAGTTGCATTACTTACCTTGTCTTCCTAACTGCCTTGTAAAACATCTGAAAACAAGGTAAGGTATTTTTCTAAAGAAAGTTTGTTAGGAGCTGCTGTAGGCATCAGGTGCTCCCTGAAATGTACCTGGGTTGTATATTTTATTTACTAACAGATTTAGCATAGATGCACCAGAAGACTAGAAGATCAGGATCTGAGTGTCTATTAAAATGGAATTAGAAATGTTTGATACAAAAAAATGTTAAAACTTTGTATCTGTTCCAGAAGGAAGATTAAACAAGGCACTAGTAGTGGTATTCTCAGTATCATCTACAGTTAAAAATCAAAATATGAGAGCTATGGTTTCCAAATGTTAAACTTAGGGCCAAAAAATACCTTCAAGCCCCAGCACTGTGTGTAAAGGGGTACAGAGGTCTACAAAAACATTTTAAAGTGGCAATGGTATCTAAACACATGCTATTTATTATTGGGGGGTTTTGTATCACTTAACATGATTATACAGCTACTGGTGATAGTCAGACCACAGTTTCTGTATATTGTCCCACATGAAATGCTCTTTTTCTCCCTTTCATGCTTCTAATGGGTCTCATAGATCGGGTGTCTCCTTTCAGAGGTATATTTTAGATGTTAGACTAATAAATCTTGAGGGCTGTGGAAAAAGCTTACATTTATAGGAGATGAGAGTGCTTTCTCATCATGGTCCCTCAGTACACTAAGGTCCCACATCACTGGGGCCCCGTTCTCATGAGCTGGATATTGATTATGCCTCGACTATACATCTGACTAAATAAACCTGCATCTGGCAAGTTACTTACGTTGCTTCAAAGGCATCAAAGCTGAAACTGACACTTGCTGAAAATTAACTTGCTGACCTATTTGTCTTTGTTATGGAATAACTGTACCAGGTACCAGTTTGGATGTGGCTTAATTTTGTAGTGCAAAATTTCAAATGAACTGAGAATTTTATTGCCTGCTTTTCTAGTGTTTGTACTGCTTGCCTTCAACTCTCAGGATGCTCTGAACAAAGAATTTAGCAGTGATTAAACTCTGCTGCACCCTGTGTTGTAGCACAGAATGACCTTGCCTATGCAGATAGAGCCAAATGGTGTAATTACTGTGTTTCAAAAAAAATCCCTGCCTGACTGTGCTCTCTGCAGGGGTTCGAAAACATTTGCAATAGGTTCTTGCTGAGGTTTGGCTTGCATGCTTTGGCCCTTTCAACAGCGTGCTGGGAAGCGTGTTTGAACCCTTTTTCTGCATTTGTAGGCAGAAGAATGTGTCATATTTGGGAAACAGTGAGGGTAAGGCTCCCATCAGAGTTGTAGTGGGAGCATGAAAAGCGAGATAAAACATAGTGGACAGTGGTAGGATTTTGGGGCAGTGTGGCCCCGGCACTGCTCCAGCTCAGAAATGCCAATGGTGACCGGACGGCTCTCAGAGAAGAACCTAGACGTGGGCTCTTAAGCTGAATTCCAATGCTGAGGCACAGCAGAGCCCTCCCTCTTGCCTGCTGCTCGCAGAGGAACGGCGAGGGCAGAGAAACATTTGCTGCTCTTCTGCCCCTTGCCGCTTTTCCAGTGAGGCAATGTAGCTCTCAACATCTCATCCTCGAGGGACATTTCAAGGCAAGGTGGTTATGCTGAATTCTACCTCTGACTCATCACACAAAACCCACAGAAATCTGAGGTAAAAGGGGATGCTGTGAGTCAAAGGGGCTGACCTTGCCGGTAAAACTCTTCGCAGACCCGTTCACTCCACTGTTTGCTCAGATCCCAGAGCCGGCAAGGGTTGCAAATGTCAGCACACTTGAGTGCAATCTAAAAGCAAGAAGAAAAGTAGGAGTGAGAAAAGAAGTTACTGTATAGCAATGCTTCAGCAGTAAATCTGCAGTCATGAAACTCCCAGGCCTCACCAGCAATGCTGGGAAGGGTTAAGATTACCTTTTAGAGACTCAGCCTCACCCAAACATGCCCTTTGAGGAAAGAGCATTTATTTAAGCTGCAGACAAAACTTTCATTCAGCACTCCACTTTACCGTAGTGAGAACAAGAGGAGGGCCAAATTCCAAGGCTGCAAAGTGTTTTGGATATTCCTTGCAAGGAATACGCCAACAAAAGCCTCAGGCTGGCTCCTGCTGACTGCTTGGCTCAGCATCCATGGCTGATGACAAGGAAGGGAAGAGCCAAGCTGGTATATTTGGGCATCATTTCTCTGTAGTCTCAGTGAGTGACCTTGCATCTCACTTCAATTACACTTCATCTTAATGTCTGCACATTTTTGTTTACAAAGCCGAGCATAAGGCTCTCAGCACTGCCCCTGGCTTGGTTTCACTTAGTTAACTAGTACTTTTAAGTGCTTTGCAGGGGAATGCGTACAGAAGGGCAAGAGGTTTTGAAAATCAAGTAACTGTTTCAGAAAAGTAAACCATGTATTAGTCTGCCTGTCTTACTGCCTTGGAACAAGATGTTCATGTCATGAACACAGTCAGTTAGCCTGACAGAAGTCAGAAGTCATTCTGGCACCCATGAAGAAAACATAAGAAACATTTCCTGTATAAATTCAGACCTGTGAACCAGAGGAGGGAAGTCTCCAGGTTACTTTTCTCTCTGGATTAAGCCCTAATGTTACTATCTATTACAACGACCTTTCAGACATTCTTTAGCTTATTCTGATCAATCAAGATTCCTTGATTTTTTTCTTTTTTTCTTCCACAACTAATCCACCGGATAATTAAATCTCATCATGTCTGTTCCCTAGTTACTATTTTCAAGAAAGTACATAAGAAATTTTTTTGCCACAGTTGAGAACTGTAATTCCTCTGCTTTTGCATTTGCACAACTTTCTTGCCTAATCTGTCCAGGAATATAATAAACCTGTCATCCTGCCCTGCATGGTCTATGCAGGAATCTGACAGATGACTGATGCAGGACAGGTGAGCAGGAGGGGGAAGAAGTACCAGATCAGCATTTCGTTCCTTGCAACAGTAAGGAACTGTAATTTAGACAAAAGGAAAACATGTAGGTATTTGTTTTATAAATGATAATGATTACTTCAACTTCTTTATGGACTTAAGAATGAAATTAATGTAATTTCTCCAAAGAAGCAAGTATATGCAGCTACTTTAATAGGTCGAGGTTTATTCTGAAGAGTCTGCTAATGACTGCAGCTCAACACAGAAACAGTGTGAATCTATTTCATTTTTTAATAAAGCATGGTTTTCTCATTAGCTGGGTAGATGCTCTAGAGAAGCATCTGCTGCCATGGCAACAGCTGTCTCTGCAGAGGCAGTTCCTGAGTGTCCATCACAGGAACAGGACTTGGACACCTGATGTCACACTGTGCTGGAAAACACACCAATGAGGGGGCTCTCCTGCATGGTGCTAGAAAATAACACCAGTGGAGAGAGAGAGACACTACAATCGAAGCATTACCTGGCAAGAGAAGCAGTGTTCTGGAAATCAAATAATTACTAGCTTATCTTCATTTCTTAGCATTTGACACACTCCTCTATCTGTTGCATTCACAACTTTTTAACTCAAGGAAATTACAAAAGGAAATACTGGAGGCACCTTATGCTTGCCTTACATGCCAGGTGGCAGAAGGAAAGTGTTTATGGTAATAGGGAGAGGCTGATGTCCAGACATACCATCATATGTTACTCCAACATATAATAGGAAATACTGTGACTTTAAAAATGTGTAAAAATAATAGTGAAAAAAATATCTTTTGAAGTTACCTGAAGCATAAAATGTCTGTCTTGTGCATCCTCCAGCCTCAAATCCTGATTGTCAAGGTGAGATTTCAGACGGATCAAAAACTCATTCTGCCTGTTGATGTCTGTTGCCAAGATCAGGGAGCCCAACTGCTGCTCGATGTCCTGTCTGCAATGGAGGAAAATAAGCCCCTTTAATCATGGAACCATTGAACATTAATAGCTCAAACCAACCTGCTACGGATCACAGCTAGCATAAAGCTTCCTCTCTCTTTATGGATCCAGTGTGATCTGTTTGGTCAGGCTCTGCTGGGGTTTGCCGAGTACAACCATTCTACCTGCCTAAATGGGTTCAAGAGGAATAGATAATGTAGACGAAAAATGCTTGTTGGCGCAGGTTGTTCTGAAAGCTTCTGAAAAGTGCTAGGAAAGTACAAAAAAACCACTCCAAAACAAGAGCATAATGCATCAAGAAAAATGCTCACGTCTTACTTCAGCTGCTCAGAGCTGAGTGGTTAATACTGCAACTTTGAAGTTGCAGTCAAAGTTGTGAAGGTCTAGACTGAAGTCCAGCTGAAGGTGGATGCAACTGTCTGATGCAAAGAATTTCTGGAGAGATACAAAGCTTATTGCTTCTAGGTAACTTGTTTATGTTCTTGGTAAGGTCACCTGTGATTTAAAATTTGGTACGCAATCTGTTCATTGGCTCAACCTCCATTCCTCAGGGGGACTAGTACTGCACAAAACCAGCAGATACAAAGCTAGCAGCAACTTGGCCAAGGTGCTCATGTTGTTGCTTTTTTTTGCTTCACCTATAAAGGCTGGACCATGCTTTCGCAGGCAGGCATGGAAGTCCTGAGCAGTCTTGATGCTATTTGACCAACTCCTTCAATTTCCTATTTCATGCTTTTTAATCACTAAATCTTTCCATATTCAGTTGGTGCTATGTAAAATGAAAAATGCCAACAATTGATCTGAAAAGCTCCACTTCTGCTGGGCCTCCCCATGCTCCTGGTGCTGAGAGTAGCCATTCCTGTGCTGCAGAAGCGGCTAGGTCTTAGAAAATACTTCTGCTGTATAACTTGTCTCATGATTTCATACTGGCACCAAGTGAGGGCAGGAAGTTCAGCCTATTCTGAAGCCTGGGCCTCTTTGCTAGTATCCTTTTAAGAAGAGTGAAGGAAGCCATGGACTAGTTTCAGTGATGCATTTCTTCCCGTGGACACTTACGTCACCTCCTTGGGCAGATGGGCGAGGAGCCGTGACTCTCGCAGCATGCCTATCGTAGATCGCCAGTGATGGTTTTCCAGCACTGAAACGTTCTATGGAGGAATAACAGGAATAAATTCAAGGGTTAGGCAGGTATCCATGGTACAGATATGGATTTGCCATATCACATGATACCCAGACCTGGCTGGACATGCTGTAACATCAGTCTAAAATGTGTGCTTTTTAGCCACATTTGGATTAGAGTAATTGGTCTAGATTTCTATACTTAAGGACCTTGTACTTCTGGATTTCTTAGCTAATGTCAGCCCTAGAGCCCTGTTGTTCTACAGTTTTTGAGTCCTGCTGTGAACAGAGGAGCTAATCTCACCTGAGTGGGAGGTAGCTTACATTCTAACAGATTTATTAACAAAAGAATTAAAGCAGGAGTGCAAAATCGTATTTTTGCCTCCTATTAATCCCGGGTTGACTTCTCAACCTCTACAGTTTGAATGCAGAGTGGACAAGAAAAAGAAAACTAAACTGCCAAATTTCCCTTGAAGTCAGGGAACTGGAAGCTACCTGCAGCTGTTCAGTGAAAGGAGGAGGAGTAACAGTACTGCTGAGCATTTGCAGGCTTCAGCAACTTAGTCTGCAACAAATTTTGAGTCCTTTTTGTTTGCTTCCTTCCAAGAAAGTGGAACCAAAGTTAGGTTGGAAAAAATTGCTAGAGAACAGAAACCCAGCTTTCTAGGTTGTCAGTAAATTATAACAAATTGGATATCTTGTGTCTGATGACTTGAAATTATTATCCTAACACACAATGCATTTGCCAATCATCACTTCTTTAGTTCACAGAGTACCTTCTATCACCAAATGCCTCAGAAATGTCACTTGTTCAGAAACCTCTAGCATCTGTTCCCTGGCTTTTGCAGTAGATAAGCACTGGATTAAAAAAAAAATCAACACACAATCAAACCTTTTGAGCAGGTAAACAGAGCAAGGACCCCACCCTGTCACTGCAAACAGGGAAATTAGAGTAAGAATCCCTCTTTCCA